CCTTCACACTCTTTGATCAATAAAAATATGGACATCATATTCATTTGCACTCATTTCACATGCATCAATACTTTGTAGAACCTCCTTCTACTTTATAGAATCATTTTTTGCCAATTCTTTGTGAAGTACTGAACACTTAATCAGACTGGACAAAGAGTATATTGTGTACACAATTATTCAAGTCTTGCCATTGTTTTAAGTGGAATGTTTGATTCCCTCAAACACATGAACATACTTTGGTCTAAATTATTCCATTGTAGCTTTGTCTCAAGTCTTGTGCCACCCTCAATAAGTTTTCTTCCAGGAGTCAATTGCTCTATCCATCTTCCCATTACCATTATCCAGCTTGTTCTTGCTGAAAAGCAAGTCCAGAGGAATGTTGACCAGAGAACCTTCTTCCGCTTTGTTCGCTTCTTGTTCATACTGCTGACTGGAGTTCTTTTTGCTTTCTCTTAACAATTTCTTCAAGCTAATTTTTTTCAAAGACTCATTTTGACTCTGTGGTGGCATCAGCCATCTTCTGTGGTGTAGTTTGTTGGGGTAGCTGCTTATTTACAGCCCTGTCCTTGCAGGTCTCCTCAGCCCAATGCTGATGGTTGGAGACAGAAGAAATAACTTATCACTTTTAGACCTCATCTACCACCCTATGAAGCTGCAGCTGAACTCGAGCACTCCTTCAGCAAAGGCCTTCTGCATTCTTGGTGCACATTTATGTGAGATGTTCAAAGCTTGATTTATTGTTTTGTGACCTAACCCTGTTTCCACCTATCCTCAACTTTATCCCTGAGCCATCTGCCGTGCTTCTTGGTCTTCAAGATGATTACTAACGCAATAAGCCTTTAAGGCTTTCAGAGAACAGCTCAATGTATACATTTGGGTTTTAATACTTATTAGGTGACATCTCTGGGCAGTTGTTCCAGATTTAGTTTAGGAAGAGATTCTGCATACTCTTTTCATTCATTTTTAAAACACTGCAAGTACTGTATTCTTTTCTTCCTTCACATAAAAGCCTAAGGAAACGCATCCAACTTTGCAACAGTAATAGATCAAATGTTTAAGAAGAATTTTGGGTGTGAATACTTTTGCAAGGCTCTGCATCGTAAGCCTTAGCAGAGAAGATTAGACAGACTTGCGCTGCAGCATGAGTCCACCGCCACATATGTCTCCTCAGAGGACTCACATAATAGTGAGGCCATTAGCAGCAGTCCCCGATTTAGCCTCAGAAGTTGTTGAGATCATCAGGCTAATCCTCTCATCTGAGCTTATCACCGCACCTTAAGAGTTAGTCAGCGTCTTAGTCCTTCGCCTGTATCCTTTTGATGACAACATTATTGTCACATTTATAATTAATCTCCTTTCCTTTTTTATTCTTCCTCTTCTCATTGGATTCAACAAACACCCTACATGGGAGAGCAGAGACGTATTCCAGACTCAGAGGAGATATTTTAAAGCACTTTGTTCCTGTATTCTTTTTTTTTTTTTTTACTTTGGCACATATGTTTTGTTTTTACATTGTATGAATAAGCCAATATCCAGCGAGGAAAATTAGGCAATTGGTAATAGTCCTTTTAATATGCACTGTAGAATGAAAGACCAGCAGCTTAGCATGTAATAAGAGCTTTAATTCAGGTATTATTTTTTACCTCTTGACCCAGACTGCTCAGTTTGTTGATGTCGACAGTGCATCAATGGCGTCACAAGCTGATTGGCTTACTGGAGAAGTGACACCATCACATAGCTGGACAGTACATACAGTACATCCATTCATTCTATTCTTAGAGAGGTTTAACTTTGATAGCAATTTTTTTTTAATTCATTTACTTTCTGCTGTGTTTTTCCTAATTAGGGTGTTTGTCATTTGAAATAAATAAATTGGAAACAGAGTATCTGACCACTAGATGGCGCAATTGTTTTACTCCTTTACCTTATTTTGTTTTGCTTGGAGCAGTCATTTGATCTGTGTGGCAGATTGAGTCATTTTTGTCATAAAAAATTCCAACAAAGACTGAGCCTTTTAAATCTTTAAATAACAATTTTTACCTCAGTATTCAGTCTCATGCTTCACGAGTCAATACTTCAAAATGGTATTGAGTATTTTTCCTATAATGTCTCTAAAAATCATAGCATTTTGACAACCTGACTACCACTTGCATAAAAATCACATGAAAATCCAAAGGTTTTGGGCTGGAATGAAACATCTCTCAATTTTTTAATTTATTTTTAATATTGATGAAGTCCACAAAAATAATCACACCTTTAGTCCTTCTTGCATTTTTGTTCTATATCAAGAATTTGAAGTTTTGAATTTTTTAGTGTATGGAACAAATTTATCCCGATATGGAACGAAGATGCATGCAGTGAACCTAATTTTGCATACTTTTGCGAAAAACTAAATTGTGTTCATAATTCTCTGCATGAGAAAACTAGATTTGATTTAAGATGAACCTTGCATGGTCAATGATGCAATGCATTTAAATATAATTCAGTTTATGTTGAATTGCAAACGTCGTGCAAATCAGCAAGAAGACTCAAATATTGATTCTCATCTTTTTCTGTTCCTCGGTTAAAAGTTTGGTGGCGGTTCTTTCTGATCTGGTAACTCTGGAGGGCGCCAGAGATTGCATTTACATCTTAGAGCAGGATTTATGATTGCAACCGTGTCCTCACTGAGACATTTGTCTTAACCAATGATCTATCTGCTGATATTTAAGTTCTCCGGGTTTTATAGAGATAATCTTATTCAGTCATACTGGCATCGTTCCTTTTCTGCATAGAGCCATCAAGGTTTAAATTTAAGAAGAAAGACGACCTGACGCCTTTTGTTTTCCTGCATGCAGCAGAGTCTGCAGGTTATGTCATGCAATAATCGGTGGTCAGTAAATTTAAACTTTAATCCATCATATGATATAGGCTGTACTTTTGTTTGCTTCTACAATAGGGCGAGGTGATCTATGGCAAATGTGAGTTTCATCGTCTTCTGTGATGCTCTCACAGGAATGTTAGACCGGAACCCCCCATGTGAGACTCTTTGTGTCCAAAACCACGCACCATTGAATGCAGATGGATCTAAATCTTCAGCCTCCCCCTTGATGGCTTTAGGGCTGCTCTGTGGTGTGGGGCGAGCCAACAAATATGAGTGAAACTCATCCGGAATGTGCCCAGCACCCTGTCTGCCCTTCTGTTAGTGCCGATATGAGGAGACTGCGGGGGTCAGAAATGGGGGAATGTTGTGAGAGGAAGAGTTTAAGGGCTGGGGAGGAACACTAATGAGAACCTGTAAGACCTTAAGAGAGACCAGGTGTTCTGTGTTTTCCTCAAGACGATAGAATGCCCTAAAGAATAAGGGATGTCACAACAAGGTTTTAGATTTTGTATGCAAAAGTTTTATTGAATGACACAAATAAAATAAAATACATTTACAAATATAAAATAACATATATATAAAACACATCAATTTAGCACAGTTTGCAGAGGAATAATGACAAATAGCTACAATGCCCATATATATCTCTCTCTTTCTGTACAAAAATAGCTTTATATGCATAAGTACATTAATGTAACTTTTATATAATAATTAAATAAAGAAATTCATATATACACAAATATCTGCACTAAAAAAATAAGATTGCACATGTTTTTTTTTGTGTTTTTTTTTACAGACAAAAACATTTTCAAGTATAGTTAAATCCAGTATGGACTGGCACATAGCTCAAAGAATCTAAGGCATTTTCCCTTGTACAGTGTCCAAAACTTGATATAAACGGAGAGCATTAAAGCTCTTTAGGCATATTGATAGTGATATCTTTTCTTTTATGCTTCATTCTGCTTACGTTCAAAAGGAAAAGTGCAAGCCATTATTAGCAGTCTTATAGAACATGATGTAGTCCTTCGGGAATAGCACTTTTTAAAGTCTAGGCCATGAGGAATAAGTGTGTACAGCTCTAAAACGTTAATAGAGGGTTTCCTCTTTCAGGATGTGCCCACATGTATTTGCACTCATCCTTTTCCTCTGCCAGGCAGAGAACAGCACCTGTAGTTTGCTCCACACTGTGCCATCCAGTTTCTTTAAGCCAGCTGTTTGCAAACTCTAGTCCACTGAGTCGCGAGGCTCAGGCATCCCAGAGCCGCGGCTGCATCCAGAATCACTCTGACTCAGTCCTCCTGTCTGGAACAAATGCACTGGAGTGTACTTGGCATGAGTCTTAGGCATTTGGAGAATTTCAAAGCCAAGCAGAAGGGGACACAAGCTGGATAGTCCAGCTCCCTTGATTTTGCTCCCAAGTCCTCTTTCAGAGTCCTCCTCATGTCCTTCTGAGCAGAGCTTCAAGCTTGTGAACTTGCGAGTTGTTCAGACTCCACACGGGTCTCAACCTGCCCTCCTCCATCCTCAGGGAGATTTGCCTCTCTGGAACAGATCTGCGCCTCCGGCCATATCCGTGAGGGCTCATTTTGTTAATAGGGACGCTGGTCTTCAGCTTATTGTCTTTGAACTGTTGTACACGATGTGCCAGGACGTGCACCGAGCAGGTACCCAGGGCACAACCTGCGGACCTCTTGGTTCGGATCTTAATGTCAGTGCTAGAGACAGAAGGGAGACAGGACATTAATCCATGCTGTTACTTAATAACTTTTTAAGAATAACCTGATCAGATTAGGTGGTTGAACTTTTAGGATTGGATAATTCATTTCTTACCTGGAATGTGGCAGCAAGATATCCCTGATGTCCTCTGGTCTGACAAAGTTTTCAGATTTTGCTGTTTTCTGTACTGCGACGGTTTCAAGATCCCGTCTCAATCTGCTCCCAAGCCATATGCTTAGTCTGCAAGAGAAGAGAGGGGGAAAAACTCCATTAGTCTTGGAATGACTTATTCTTGGCAGCTAACGTCTGCCAAAGACTTAACAGAGTTGAAACATTATTATTATTACTGCATGAACTGATTTAATGTTAACTCACCTTTTTTTCAACTCGGGATTCACCTCAAGTTCCACACAGTGTGCTACTGAAGCCAGCAGGCAGCAATAGAGGAAGGAGTGGAAGATCGTTTTCATTTTGGCTCCTGTGGAAAGAGAGGGAGAGAGAAAAAAGTTTGGTAAGTTAAACAGTTATGGTGGGATATAATATTTAGCTGCACAAATTTCCGTTCTGTCCCTTTCTGCATGAATAAATACCACATTAAGAATTCCACCAAGAACCACTATTTTGTTTTCTTACACAAGAGTCCAAAAGCCAAGTTATTTGCATATATCATTCATTTATTTAGAAAGTTAAGCTAAGGTCAGAATTTGCTCGGTTAAGCAATTCTGTGACCAAGCTTTGGGCCCCTGGCCAGTAATTTGAAGGACATGGTCTAAAATAGACTCAGCAGAAGTCCAGAAAAACTTGCAAATCATAACAATTTCACTTACAGCATCTAAAAACAACAAATGATGTGTTAATACTGTTGGATGCTTGACAGCCTGCTGGCAATTCCTACACAGACCCACACACATTAGGAGCTGAACTGCTTATATAACCAGGCAGATAACCTGTTCTTGTCTCTACACTTGTGCCTTGACCTCAAAAAGGAGCAAGGATAAAGCCATCAGCTGGCAGCACGGCAAACCACAGCAATATGAGTTCTTTTAAAGCAAAGTGCACATACCTGTAGTTCAATTCAGATAGGCGAGAAAGTTCTTCTTCCAAAGTCAGCAGTGAAAGAATACTCCACAGGTATTCTCCAGGTTGCTTTTGCTTCTGTAAGGCAGCTGTGTCACTCTGCTATTAGCCTCTATGCACCAGACCGGCGGCATTTATAGCGGTCTCCAAGTGGGAGGGGCTCGGTGATCGACAGGCGCAACTCCCCCACTCCATTCAAAGCACTTAACTGCTCTGCTGTTGTTCATGTTCAGCAACAAGGGGTGGGGAATAAGTGTAGGAATGACAATTAAAATCATATGTTTAACAAAACTTTAAAGAAAAGACATGAAGAAATCCCGTGCTGCCATTGTATCCTGTTTTCGTTATTTTAGTTAGTCATAACCTAATTTTCTATCCACTCTTATATAATGAAAATAAAAATAAAAACATGAGTCAAACACAACACTCAGATAAGGATGCAAGATGTTTGTCCCAGTTTCTTTTCTGTGCATTACAACTAATAATAGCCAAACTTTCATATTGTTATATTTAAACTCTAAGGTCAGATATGCCAATTCTTTTTGTTTATGCTCTTCTCAGTCTCTCCGGCAACAAAGAAAATAACTTTAAGGAATGTTCCCATCCTCGGCTTTCCAAGGCACTCCCCGACACTGTGAAGTTCCATGTGAGACTGGAAACCCAGACGACAATGAATCCGAGACAAGCATTGAGTTACTGATTAAATATAATAAGCATGTCCAGCTGTAAATACAATAAACTCTATATTTGTTTGGACACGGCAAATATTGACTTTGGACCCATTTGGAAGGTTTAAAAAAAATTAAATGGAATTTTACAATTATAAATCTAATCTGAGCTTGAATAACAGCCTGTGAGGTGTGTGTATATATATAGATGTTAAACAATTAGAATACACTTTTACATAAATCTAGATGGTGATGACTGAAAAGAAATCCGGTCAGTTTTTATGACTTTTTTTTTTTTTTTTACTCCATTACATGACCAAACTTGTGTTTTATGCTAAAGATACATATTTGAAAGTGGCACAGAATGTAGGAAATTACAAATTGGAGCCCCAAAAATGTGAACTTACAGTGATTTTTGCTATGCAGAAAACTATAAAACCCAGAAAGAACATGTGCCAACACATGTGTAATGTCACACATAGTTTAGGAAATGCTGTAAAAACCAGAGGAAAAAAACACTTGGTTTGAACACTACAGAAATTCCAGTGTAGAAATATCCTCAAGGCAGGGGTGCAGAGAAATCTTTCAATTTTGATTTTGCTTTCACTTTCTTTAACTGTGAACAAATGTACATGAAACGAGGTTTGCTCCACAGTTGACATTCCTCTGTGGCATATCAAGACCCCTTATTCACTTCCTAGTATGATAATGAAATCCTTATGAGTTTATTTATATTCTCATGCGACCCCATTCCGCTGGTGGTGTCATATTTTTAAACTCCAGAAAAATACATAAATGGCAAACACATGTGTTTTCAAAAAAGAAAATGTTTTGTAAGCACTTTGTAATGCTAACTGGTTCCAGCGGATCAGTAATCCCCTCAACAGAGTTTACGACTAGAGATGGTGCAATCGTTACAACAAAATTCTTCTGTTGCCTTTTGGCTCCTTATATAGCAATCTTTCCCCTTCATTTGTGAAGATGAAGTTTGAGTTTGACAGGTTTTGTGCCACCTTTTCGTTTACATCAAGAAACATCAAGAGGCGGATTCGTGATTATTGTAAACCTGTCATCTAATTTTCCAAGATAAACCCAGTTGTCTTCTGTGTTTTTCTGTCTTTTCTTGTGGATTCAAATTCTTTAGGGCCTTTATTTTTGCCTTACTAGCTAACAAAGTCATGTGCAGGAATCTAGAAAATTTAGAAAGCCATTGAAAACACAGACGGCAAGTGAGGGATATCGCTTGCTGGGTTCCTGCTATTGTTGCTGGTTTGTCTATTTGTCTCACACACATGAAGTAATCCCCACGTGCTATACCCTGTGACAGGTTGTCCTGTTTTCAGTCCTCTCCAATATTTTGTTCTAACTCCAGAGTTTACCCTCCTTCATGAGTGTTCCACAAAGGAATCATTTGTTTTTGTTTTGTAGAACTTGCAGTAAATTGAAATGATTTGGTTCAGAAAAAAAAAGTTTTGTTGGAGAACAGTGACTTTTAAAGATGTTGCTTCATAATATACCTAATGTGGATTGAATGCTCTTAGCAATATTTTTTTTTAATGATTTTAATAAAATTAGAGATGCTGAAAGATACCTTTTAGGTGTTTTTTTTTTTATTTTTATTGGTCATACCTACAAATCAAATACGCTTAAGCAAATGGCTAAAAACATCATGCAATATTGACCTATGTAAAAGCTCGTGCCTGAGATTACTTCTGTACAGACTGATTTGCTTTGTTTAAGTAAGGTTTGGAATTGCACTCAGGGTTCATACATAGTTTGGAAAGATGTGACATTTGATTGAAGTATTTTCCTGGTGTGGATAAATAAGGAAAAGGCTATATATTATGAAAAACAATATCTGCATTTACAAGAAATCTTCCGTCCTTCTGCTCGCCTTTTTCTTTGTCAGATTTACAAATTAAATGTACATATTTGAACTGTCCAAAGAAAAGAAATTAGTCATCTGACAATTTCATCAAAGAAAAAAAAACACATTAATCAACAATGTCTTGGTGACAGTCATGTACTGCCAACAAAAGAACTTCAGATAGATATATATCACAATGTTAAACATTGTGGAAAAACTGTTATCCTTTGGTTGTTACCAATTCTTCTGCACTCTTTAAGCAAAAACCCAGTGATTGCTTTGCCATATTAATGTGGCAGTATTAATCATGTTGATGGTTCATTGAAATTTGAAGAATCTTAGTTTTGATTTGTGCAGTTTCTTGTAGGTCTCATTTATAGCAAACCATAAAAGGCTGTGATAGATGAATCTATTTTTTTTTTTAATTTTATGAATATAACAGTGCACTTGTTTATGATTTGACCATTTTCTGCTTTCTGTAGACATGAACAAAAGTCTATTGTGTACAGTTTTAAAAAAAAATATTAATAAATAATAAATATTTGAGGCAATAAGCAAAGGACAAAATGCTGTAAAGGTTAGATAACTTATTTATATTGCTTACATTACAGTCTTATTTTAATATTTATTTATGTCAAAACTGGATTTGTAATAGGCTATTTATGCAGAACTTAATTTCTGTGTTTCCCCTCTTCCTAGTAAAATACGGTATCTTGGAACTGGTTCTTCTACTAGCTCTTGAAAAGCCCTCAAAGCCGCCAGCAAATTCGAGATTGTTTCAGGCAGGAAATGAAATCCCACTGCTCACTAAGATTAGAATAACAATTCCCGTGTGGCTGCTGCACATTTGGTTGTACTGGACGTTAATCATGTCGTTTCCTAAAGGATATTTTATTACTATTGTTATTTTGGGGGAAAAAAGAAATAAATAAATAAAAACAGTCAGTATTGGATACAGTGATGTGTTTGTAAACTCAAAGGGCCCACGCCCATGGATGTAGCCCCACTCCCGCACGCAAGCGCAGTGACACTCCTTCTGTCAAACATGGCTGTTCTTTGGAAGGAGGAAAAATGCTGAATTGTGTTGGTATTTCTCTGGAAAAGCAGCAGAAATGGCTAGGTTGGCTGACTATTTCACTGTCGTCGGATACGACCAGGAGAAAGCCGGTAAGTTGTTTGCGGTCGCGGACTGAGCGGAGCTCCGCTGATCCAGGCCGTGTGTCTGTGTGTATGATGATGTTGATGCTACATAGCATTAGCCACACGGCTAAGGCGAGACAGGGAAACACTTTCTTTTTCTCCCATTAGCAGGCCAGATGTCAGAAACCACTCGGAGGGGCGTGGGTTCACACATTGTGTTAAATCAGTGGAGGAGGTGGTGGTTCATTAGCGAAGGATGTGATATTTGACTCGGAGCAAGTGAAACTTTTTTTTATGGGTTTAAAATCTGTCACATCCTGCCCTGTTGATCCACTGATCCAGCGCCCGTTAACGGGAAAGCTGTCCGTCCGCAGCTCCGATTTGGCCATATAAGTTCAAGTCTGGCTCCTCCCTTATCTATTTGTTCAGTGAGTCAAGCTAGGGCATTATTATTGATAACTCATTTGTGGTTTTGTAGCGTAAAGCTATGCTTGCTATTTATAGATCTATTTTTATCCACTGCAGTCCTCGGTCATTTATTGTGTCATTTTTCAGTGGCGCAACAAAGGGGGGCGCAGGGGGGTAAAGAACCCTTTAGGTTTTGCTGAACCCTTCTCTTCCCAGGCAGACTTGAAAGGATAATATGGTTTTAATTTTAATTTAAGAAACAACAGAACGCATGGAGGTACATTAGCAGAACATCCAACATACTTGTGGGTCACAGCAAATGTCACCAGAGGGAGCATTGATTAAATGTTTGACTTAAATTACATTGAGACCTGCTGTAAGTTTTGTCCCACCATCACAAAAACATTCGACATTGTTTTGATATCATCATGAATTTTTCAGCAGAAAGTAATTGAGTTTACCAAACATTCTCCATTCTTTGAGAATTTAAAATAAAAGCCTCATAATTGACTTTTTAGTAGAAAATGTTATTATAAGGCATACTTATTACAGTAGAATATATAGAGATAACGTTTTGCTTGAAACAAAAATACATTTTGTTATTTTTTTTTTCTCCGAGCCACAAAAATTAGGATTTAAATTATTTCCATGATGGCATCTGGATATTTTGGGAACTAATAAGCTATGTACATATGCATCAATAAGGTGATTTTTGTTATATAGATATCTTCAATTAATTCACAGGTACTTAAGTTGATTGATCTATATAAAACATAGTTTTGTTTAACTAAAAGTAATGGAAATAAGTAAGCAACGATTGGTATCGGTACGCTTACTTAACATTAGCCTTGGATTTGCTGATAGCAACATTCCCACTGGTAGTCCTAATTTTGTCAGTCTTAAATAAAAAAAAAGCTATGTATTATTTTCATTTGTGAGCTTCTTCCACCATCTTCTACATCAGTTTGGAGAATTTGTGTATTCCAGTATTTTTAGCATCTTTTGCATCTACCCAGAGAGACTGAGTTCATCAAATATATTTTATTGTATACTGCTGTTCTCAGGGTAAGACAATGGTTGCTGATATGACGGTAAACAATCCAACCAGGACAATATCTGGTCACCCCATTAAACACTTTTTGGATCCTGTCTTGATTATTGATTTATTTCTGTTTGTGTGAAGAGTGCTGGCTGCAGTGTTGCACTGCTGCAACAAAACGCAATTCTAGAACCAGAGTTTTACTCTCTCCGCTGGGGGTTAGCAGGGGGACAGGAAGCCCCTCATGCTTAAACTTACATGTTATTTCTCAAGTCCAGAATCACATTCCTTTCATCGAAAGACAGGAAGCAGCTTTGCTCACATTAAATCATTCATAGATAAATGGATTAAAACTTTTTTTTAATTTTCTTTTGGCACAGTTCTCAAGTTAGGGCTGCTCATTTAGTGAATTGCCTGTTTCTGAAACAGCTTAAAGCTTTGCTATTTATTGCCAAATATTGTCTGCAGAAAGTAAAGACATTGGATTAATTTGCCTAGCTTCTTACAGTGGCACCTGTTCAGCTTCATGCCTGCTCTGGGCTCGTTGAATGCGCTGTCACCTCGCTACGCTGCACACATTAGGTAAACAATACCTTTCATTGGCTGAGTGCATCCCAGCATCCACTTAGATAAG